ATACCGGCGTTCGCTCACTTCTCGATCCTGTCACTGCTCTCTGCCGTGACAGGGGAGGGGCTGGATTCCCCCCTCCCCGCTCCGCCAGCGCTGACTGGCGGAACGGACGGGGGAGGGGGCGGGTACAGCTGGCTCTGCCTCTAGATAGGCAGAGCCAGCTGTCACTCACGCAGCTGGGCGGATCCCGTCAGCTAAGTCGTGATCCGCTTCGGCTGCGGCGTCTCAGTATACCGTGAGCTGTAGCTCCCTATATACTGAGCTTAGGGTAACGGGAGGACGCTAGTTTGCGTCCTCCCGTTACCCTAAGGATAACTATGGGGAAAAACACTGACCCCATAGTTCTCCTTTAAATATAAAACGCAGCTTTTGCTGCAATGCAGTGCTGAGACCCGCAGTACTACTTCTCCACCACTAGATGTCCCTAGTGATTCGGGTTGTATGACATCTAGTGTCGCTTAACTTGCTTCCTCTGTGGCTGTCATGGACCCGCCCCCTTGGAGTGTGCCGTCATGTAGCTTGGGCTCAGAGTGCTCCTGGATGTGCGAGTGCCGCTCAGTCCAATAAGGGAAGGCCGCGGTCTCCTCAAGGGAAGCACCCTTGTCATCTGCAATACTTCAGGAAGAAAGGTATGCATGGGGTTTCTTAGGTTTATTGTTTGGGGTTTACATACACTGCCCATTTAGAGACAGATTAGGACACCCAAGACACCCCCCCCTTGCCTGTAGCTTTAAATTAAAAGCTGGCAGAGAACTAGTGAAATAGAGCCCGCCTCATTTCCTGGCTGAAGGACGTCCAGCATCTTCTAGCGCTTTCCTCCTGAGCCTGACTGCCCTGACCCGCCTCCTGCATTCATTGTATTCCACCTCCTTCAATCATGGAAGCTCAGCATCACATGTGGGTGTCTGCACGCAAATACAGCCTGCCTAGGAACGCCCACTCCTCCAGACGGACATGCACCCACCAAGGCTTTTTGATATTTGCATAACTCCTCCCAAGAGCCGGCCCACTGCTTGCATCTGGCTTGAGGGCTCTTGAGAGAAGTGCTGAGTCTGGGTGCTGTGATGTTTTCAGGAAGCTATGTACAGCAGCCTGCTGGCCCCTCCCACCAGCCATCTGGCTGCATTACATAGAGAAAAACAGAGACCCGTGTAGCGTAAACTGTCATTTTTGTTATGGAGGGTACAGTCAGGCTTAGGGGCGGTTCACACCATAAAGAGTGCGTTCCAGAGTGTTCGACCTCTGGAACTCACTGGAACGCAACCCAGCCGGCTCACTTTGTTTTGGGGCGGGAGGGGGCGTGGCGTTGAAGTCAATGGCACTGCAGCAACACCCCCCCCCACCCCGCCCCGCAGTGCGGTCACCAGCGCCCGAACGTGCGGCATTTCAGTGCCTGCGTTCCGGTCCACTGCGATCTGCAGAAATGCTGCAAGCACTTTCTCCTTTTATTGACTCCACTTCATTTTGCCAAATGTATCCGAAATGGCCAGATAGCACCCTGGATGTGGCTCATCCCCGATTGTGTCTCAAGGTTAAACCTTCGCGGCCGTGGTCTCGGCAAAGCGCATTCCTCGCTGTTACAGTTCGGATTTTCTGTGCAGCGATTTATTGGATCTGCGCCGAGCTGTAAGTTATGTTTATCGGACGCATTAAGCCTCTTGCCGGTTGAACGGGGGAGGGGGTGGGTACAGCTGGCTCTGCCTCTAGATAGGCAGAGCCAGCTGTCACTCACGCAGCTGGGTGGATCTCGACATCGATGTCGGGATCCGCTCCGGCTGCGGCATCTCAGTATGGTGAATATTAGCACATGTGAGTCCTTGTAAGACCGTTGGCTATTTTTTGGAAGCCCCGCCGCGGTGGGTGCACAAAAACGAACGGTGTCGAACGGTCCGTCTTCCAAAGAGATAGGCCCTGTCCTTGACCCCTCAGGGTGCAAGGCTCCTGACAGGGGCAGAGCACTCTTGTCCGTCTGCCATTCCTCTGGGTCAGCCACAGCCAACCACCGTGTGCTAGGTTAGGGGCTCCCCCTAAGAAAGACCCCCCGGTTCAGGGGAGGAAAGAAGCTTATTGGCCACACATCCTCCCCCCCCTAGATTTCAGACCCGCACCCTCTGTCCTCCTATATATGTGAAATAAACACGCATATAAAAGGTGCGCAAACATAAAGTGATAAAAAAATAAACAGTGCCAATGTGGAAGACAACGGCTAGGACCAAGGGTTAGGGGCTCCCCCTAAGAAAAATAAGTGACGCAATAAATCACCCGTCTTCCTGCACTTGGTATCTTCCTGCAGCCAATGCTGTTCTGCTGCCAAGTTTTTTGTTTTTTTTTGCAGAAGCAGAAATCCGAATGTTCTTTTTTTCCTAATTCCGCAAACTCGTTATCGCAGTCGTTTGCGCCAAGTGTTTTCTGTTTATTTGTGTTTTCCAAACTGGAAAAAAAATTTTTGTTTTTGTGCAGAAAATATCAGAACAATCGCCGCGTCGGACAGAATGTACTTTCTACGCCGCAGAGAAATTGCAGCAATTTTGTAACTGGAATGAATTTGCTCCCCCCTCCCCGCTCAGTCAGTGGTGTAATTTGCTGGAATTATCTGTCAGATTAGTCAAAATTGCTTTTTGCTAAAAAAAAAGCCCATAACCCATTTCCGCAGTGACAGTTGGCTTTTAAAGTGGACCTGTCATTGTCTTTACAGGTCTGCATGGATACATTCCTGACATGTCACAATATGCAGCAGCAGGATCATTTTTCATCTCCTTCTGATCCAAAGTGTCGTTTCTCCCCTATCACAACTATTTGCTTTCCTCCATCAGTCGTTTTTCCTCTTTGGCATGTGCGGGGGCGTAATGTGTGGTGCTGGTGTAAGTCGCTGTACTGCTGCTCCCGAGCATTTTATGAAAGAACACATCCCGGAATCCCTTTAGACATGCAAGCTCAGATTTTAGCTGTGCCGTCTGCTGACCAGTTGCTTGATTACACTCTATTAAGCAGCTCATCAGCAAATTGCACAGCTGAAGACTGCACCACCCAGTGGCCAGCAGGGAAGCGCACCTAGAGGGATGATGGGGGATATGTTCTTTATACAACTTGAAGGCTTTTAAAAGAAGATCGGAGGTAGGATGAAATTACATTTACAGGAGTCTGCCGGCCTTACCACCAAATTCTGGGCAAGGGCTGGCAGACAAACCCAGGGATAGCACATATGGGGGGTGGAGCCTATATAGGGCTTATGTTTAGTGGGGTGTGTAGGGCCGCAGTTTATATGCCCTGTCAGAATATAAAGAAAGAGAATAGGTCTCTCCTGTTTTATTCGTTAAGAAAATGGGGAAGGTGATGTCTCAGGTTGACCCGGGTGATGGGGGGGTATTGGTGATGTCTCAGGTTGACCCGGGTGATGGGGGGGTATTGGTGATGTCTCAGGTTGACCCGGGTGATGGAGGTTATTGGTGATGTC